CTGCTGTTTTTGTCGGCAGTATTCTATGTGAGCTGAGGCAGTAACACAATAAAATTGCAGCACAAACTGATTTGCTGTTAACATATTTGTTTTTCATCTGCTCCCATTATGTGCGTAGGGGATTTGTGTTATATATTCCTGTGCGTGTTTACATATATCCTACACGTGCAAATGAATAAAAAAAAATGTAGAGCGTTCTAGTGGTCTTATGCACATTCACAGGAAGATGAGCTCCAAGTGTTGTGTTGACTGTTTTGTGTAATTTGGATAAAGAATAAATGGAACCCATTTATTTATTGCTTATGTTGTCATAATGACAACTATAATCTCATTGCTGCACTCACAATCACGCACACACTCATACAGTGCCATGCCTGTTCCAGCAGTAACACATATATATAGAGAGAGACAGAGAGAGAGAGAGAGAGAGACAGAAAGAGAGCACTCGTTGGCTCAGTGTCTTGCCTAAAGACCCTTCAACATATAGAAGTTGGGGATCAAACCATCGACCTACTGATTAGTGGACAACCCGCTCTTCCCCAGTTATTGTTCAAACACAGCCCTTGAGGCAATAAAGTTGTTTGTTTCTTTTGATTGACTTCTTGTTTTGTTTCCCTCTGCAGGCGGTTGGCAGTTGTTCAGCTCAGTTCATTGCGAAGCTTTTGGCTGCAGTTGGGCGAGAGGTCAGCCGAGGCAGTGAGCACAACTCGTTTCTCATAATCAACATTTATTTTACCTTACTATGATATGGTTTGGTATCCATGGAAACTGCAGAGGAATTTTTTCTTCTTCTCTGACATCGAATCCACTAGAGGTGGTGCAGCACATCATGTCTGAGGAGGAGAGGTTTTAAAGTACTGCTGTTTGGTTACAGTGTTTTGCATGTGTGGATTCGGGGGATCGAGAGGGAGGGAGACTTTCAAATCACAGACTTTACAAAAGTTGACGTGGGTCTCAGATAATCAGGTTACTGACCCAGACACATTTACAAACGCATGCCTAACATTCATCCAACCACTAACGGATGCATAAAAACCTCCAACGAGCACATCTTCTAACCTGGACCCTCCACCAGTACTAAAATAGCATCCTTAAACTTCACGACCCACTCACACAAGCTAACCTGAATTTACCCTATAACCCAAACTTAATCCTGAATTTACTCTAAACCCACCATGTGACTGTGTTCAAGTCACTTGTCGAAGGGCTGACCAGAAACTCCTCACCTTTCTATTCCTGTATGGACATTTAGTTTTGAATAGTGCAGAAATACACACACCCGCACACACACAAGCTTGGTTTCTCCTACTGTAAGTGGTTACCATAGATACCACATGGTGAGGCTCATGAAGTACAGTGGGCCTATCTCACGTGGGAGATATTGTGTATTTATAGAAACACTGTGGTGTGGCCAGAAATGAGTTTAGACAATGCTTTTTTTTGGGTTAATAATGAACTGCTGTAGTGGGTAAGAGGTACTAGTATGAGTATGTTAACTACTTTGACTCGTGTGCAGTACTTCAGTGTTGGAGGGGGTTGCAAAATAAAAAATTCTGCATCTGCACCTATTTCTTTCTCTCCCATCACACTCATGTGTCAGTGACAGTCCAGTGTTTTCCAAAGAAAGAATTACTACCACAGCTCAACAATACCCCCCCGGACACCCCACCCACCCACCCACATACACACACACACACACACTCTCTGATTCTGCTGTCTTCCCTCAAAAGATCTGCGAGTTTTGGAAAGTTTCTTTCAGTAAATGTGAGAGCTCCACAACCAGCCGCCTACGAAGCTGCAATATGTGTTACGTGGAATCAAACACAGAGTTACATATCATGAAATGTTTAATTAAATCCCATTTTGTTGAATAATGAACTAATTACCAAACTCCTTCTGAAGTCTTTTTTTTCCCCCCATCAAAGGACATTGGATTTCGAAGTATGTTCCCTTATCTTCCCAAAGTAATTGTGCTTCCTAAATTGACATAATTGAATTGCTACCCATCCTGGAATATGAGGTGTATTGTTCTCATGGAACGAAGCATACCTAATTGTGATCCATCATAATCACTGCACCTTCTCATCTCTTTTCAGACCTTAAGTCTAATGAATGGCTCAGCGATTATATTTTGTGGAAATATTGTCTATTAGATATAATGGCCCCCCATTATTTAACATTGTTCACTTGACATGGGCTTTAAAACCTAATGACCAATTACAGAAGGTATGAACTGGGTAGAAAATTAGATGTTGGAACATGTTGGCTGTGGCAAGAAGATCATTAAGAGAGGTGAAAAGAGTCACCTGAGCTGGCCATCATCTCCACTTCCTTTCAGGTTGTAGTATTAATATCACCCTCATATAATCATTGGCATTTCCATAGATCCCTCTTTAGCCAGTGCAGCCATCTGCTTCTGTGCTCTGTGCAGTACTTATTGGCTGGGAGACTGAGGAGCTGGCTTCCTTCAAGGCTCGATATACAAGAAGACAGTGATCCAGTCAGGAAGACAGGCATTACATTTTAATAGCTGTCTATAAGTCAGTCAGTCATCCAGCCATTTAGGAGATGCATTTAGGTACTCAGCCAGCCATTTTATCATTTGGCCATTTAACCAGCCTGTCAGACAATTAATCAGCCTGCAGATGTGTACATCCAGGAAAAATCCCAACTATACTGACGCTGGGTAAACAGATAGACGTGCACAGGAAGATGCATTCAAGTGCATACTAATAAATCATCTTTTATTTAAAGAAAAGTATTGTTCATGCCTTTATTCTGAAAGACTCCAGCTATAGAGGTGGATTAATGACTCTGTCTGTGCCATGTGACTCTGTGTACGTGTAAGCGTGTGTGTGCCTCTGCATGCGTGTGTGTGCCTCTGCATAGAACGCTAAGCACATTTGCACCGATGATGAACGGAATAAGTTCATTCTTGTCATGGCTCATCCTCGGCCAGTGGCCTGCAAAGTGAATCGGGTCAGGGGCCTTTCATAGTCAGTGCGCCGTGGTCGGTCAGATGAGTTGACCTCACAGTTGATGAGATCAAGTTGATCACAGCATTAGTATCAAATTACTGTTTTGTTTTTTTACACTAACTTGTTTACAACCCAATGCTACGTTACTTTAAGTAGCAGTTTCTGCACTTTCCTAACATTGCAGCTGCTACTGCTATGTCTACCACTCCCACTTTTCCCACTACATCGCTATTAAAATAATATTACACCTGCCACTTGTACTCCTACTACTGCTACTACTTGTCTTTCTTCCAGTACTGGATGGCGAGCTGAGAATACAGAGGAAGAAGTAAAACATCAAACGATCTTTGGGTCTAATCCCCAACACACCCAGCAAGGATTCATGTACTTTTTTAGTCCCTGAACAACAGGGCATCCTGTCCAGCTCCTCTGTAGTGCTGCTACATACCAGCCGATTTCACTGACTTCTCAGAGGAATACATATGTTCTTCTGTTTGTGTCCAACATGAGAAAACACAGATTCCAGTTACCTTATGTAAACTTTATTGAATCTGCTGTGTTCGTGGTGATTTTAGAGATAAATCTGCAAACACAGTGAAAACCAGCGAGAATCCTTCCAATCATCGGATACATTCCAGTATGATTTGACCCGTATTTTGGGATCATTACATAATTTGTGTTTTGAGCAGAAAAAAGAGTTTAAGGATCGTGTTGCGTAATCAGTCTCCACATTTTAATGCTGTCAGAAGAATATCCTATATTCTTTCCCTAGCATGAATTATTGATAACATGACTCTGATACCACATATAATGAAAAAGTAATGCTGTGCTGGAATAAAGTATTCTAGTTCATTGATCAATGAAGACATAACAAAGAGGACACACTCACTGAAGTTGGAACATCAGAAAACACTGGATCCATGATCCCCCCCCCCCCCTTTACATGAATAGTCTTGTTTTTCTAGTTTAAAGGTCACGGTGAGTTATCCTTAGCACAAGAGTTGTAATTATCTTTTTAGTCAGAAAGGGTGGCACAGTCAAAAGATCCCTCCTGCTACGTGCTTGTTCTCTTATTTGTTCACCAACCTTTTGTTCAATTGATAATTGAACATCGGTGAAGTCTTTCTTGCCCAACCTTTAAACCACAGTCACTGAAAAGCAAACCCATTCGGCACTTGGCTGACAAGGTTTAACATTTGCTGTGCCTCAGTGTCGTAACCCGTTAGTTGATGCACACTGCTGGATGTGCCACCACGAGCTCCCCTCTAATGAGCACCGGGTGAAAATGATGCAATTTCTCCAATTGTGTTTGTGCAACAGAGATAAACTGGTGTCGGTGGAGATACAGCTGACTTTGACAGTGTGGTGAGCCCCCCCCCCCTCGCTCTTGGTATATAGATATTGTGAGTTTGAAGTTGCACTAAATGTATCTACCGCCCACTCCACTCAACCACTATATGAATCACAGTTCATCATGTGTTATCTCTAGTAGCAATTTTCTGTCTCTGCATGGCCAATCACCTACTTTCTCTCTCTCTTTCTCTCACTCACTCTCTCTCTCTCTCACACACACACACACACACACGCACGCACGCACACAAAAAGGTGACAGAAGCTGACATGGCTGTTGCGGAGTGAAATCATTTAAAAAGTATACTGCATTCAAAGTGTCACCACAGTCCATTGATATGATGTTACTGTATTTGCACAAGCTTCTTCCCTGCTCCCCCCCCCCCCCCCCCCCCCCCCTCTCTGTTTCCAACCCTCTCTATTGCTTCTCCCTTCAAACCTTCTTCATCAAATACGCACAGTAAACCGTCAATTTCTCAGTCGGCCACATACATCTTCTTCTAAACATGAGACACATGACACCGGTGTGCATGTGAAAAGAAAAGCCTTGCTCGGTTAATGTGGATGTCCCCCCCTCGTCCCTCCTCTTCACTCTCTTAAAAACTCTTCAGGTTTTTTTTTCCAACTGAGCGGATTCAGGCTGAGGCGGGCGCAACCGCACTAGAGGGGGAAGTCAAGTCGTGCTGGACTGGCGCGATATCCTCGCACGGTCCACAACTCAAAAGAAGCCCGACACTCGCGTCAAATCATGCTTTTTAAATGATGGACCATGCTGATTTTAAAAGTTGACCAGGGATTTCTCGTTGTGGGGTGTTTGCGAGGCATGGCTTTCATTTTAACTTGCTTATTCCTCTCATGGTGAGTATGGCAACTCTTCTCCCTGCATGTTCTCCTCACTTTTTACGCACGGCAATCAAAGGCTGTGGATGAATGTGCGCTTGAGAAACTCTGTATTTCTTCAACTGTTTTCCTTTGTGTTGACGTGATTTTCTCATCGGCGCGTCTTTACTTTAGTTATAGTGCGAGCAGTGTTTTGGGGAATCAACACAGTGACACCAGCATCTATTTGGATAACATCACGCGTATATTGGACAGATTATTGGATGGCTATGACAACAGGCTGCGACCTGGATTTGGAGGTATGCTAATGACCGAGTCATTACACAATTTATATAATGTTGCCTCATGCATGATTGAATCGATCTTCCTTTTTTCAGTACATAAAGTTTTATTCCAGTAGTTGTGTGCGTCATTGTGCATTTAGTTTCTGTGCTGCTAAAGATAAATATTATTTTTTCTTTTACACAATTATGACACAAAATGAACATGAGTCAAAGTCAATGTCATGTTCTGTTTTGGTTTATAAATGAATTTGATTTTCAGTGCCATTTTTCTCTGTCCTTGAGCCACACATTAAATACAGCTTCATCTTTAACTGCCTTATATATATATTAATAAAACATATGAATGCCTGATTTTAGCTCTATCCAAAGTTGTATTTTGTTTCTGTGCCAAAGCAACTATTCATCTCTCTGCTGTAGGTCCAGTCACAGAGGTTAAAACTGACATCTTTGTCACCAGCTTTGGACCAGTGTCAGATGTCGAGATGGTACGTAAAGCCCTCTGACCTCTGAGACTGATATGGGATGTAAAGGCTAAACTGATGTACACATACTGTGTAAACATTTTATTTTGTATTACTACTTTACAAAGTCAGCATCACTGCGTCAACACACTTAAGACATTATGTACAGATTCCCCTGCGATTAAATTCATATAGCTTCAAGTCACCCTAGCCTTCATTATTACAGCATTTGGGCAGGATGTCATTAGTGCAGCTTAGGATTTTAATCTGGTTGACAATCCCCCCTCCCGTCTGAGAGGGAGAGAGAGAGAGAGAGAGATCTGGCTGATGTTGGGATAGGATGGGCCGACTACTCCTGTCATGGGATAGGCTGAACTCTGTATGTCTGTTGTACTCAACACTGTTTAGGCTTTAGGCTTTAGATACTGTTTCATTGCATCTAAAGCCTACTTGAACTGCCATGTGATACGCTGATGGCCGTTCTATAGAGAGGCTTGGAAAAGGCTCTTAAGAGCAGCAGGCGCATCCATTTCATCTAAAAGCATCCAGGATGGTATTGTTGACTGAATGCTGACTCTGTACATTAAATAATCTACATTCATATTTAACTACTACAACATCAATCAGTTGATTAAATCATTTCATTTCCAGACCTGCTAGTTCATATGATAACATAAATAAAAAAATCATAGAACATATATGTTATACTTGGGCTTCATCTTAAATTGCATCATCTTTTGAAGGAACTTAATATACTTATAAATATACATTATCTTCTTGCAACTATGAAGAGGTCTGTGTCCAACGTATTATCTAAAAAACCCTTTTTAACTGCCCTAAAATAACAAGTTAATCATGAGTTAAATTTCTCTAAATGCGCAAACCTAACTTTTTAATTTCCTTAGTACTGGCAGCAATAATGGAGCAGTCCAGAAATAGAAGGAAAAAAACCTCATCACATTGCCAGTGCTCTATCCAGCAGGTTCCAGCGAAACCATGGCTCACAAACCCATCTGCCATTCGCTCTGGGTGTATTTGAGATAGTAACGGCAGGAGCAGAAGCAGCGCCAGTGGTAGGAGTGGTTCTAATAGTAGTAAATAAACCCTTCATCCCTCCAGGAATACACCATGGACGTGTTCTTTCGTCAGACGTGGATTGACGAACGGTTAAAATTCGAGGGTCCCATTGAGATCCTGCGGCTCAACAACCTGATGGTCAGCAAGATCTGGACGCCGGACACCTTTTTCCGGAATGGCAAGAGGTCGATCTCTCACAACATGACCACCCCCAACAAGCTGTTCCGCATCATGCAGAACGGAACTATCCTCTACACCATGAGGTAACAGTGCTGGACAGTGAGCTCCAAACCCAGCCAAAACCGGAACAGAGCACAGACCTGGATAGCAAATCAAACTAACAAGCATCCAAGACTGTGTGCAGACATTAAAAGAAATGAGGAGTGCCATTCCAAAAAAAACAAGATATGTGCCATCTGAAAACAGGCCTGGAAAGCAATTCAAACAAACATGACTCCGGCTTTGTTCCAGAAGGACATATTTAGGACTAAAAACAACGTCCCCAGAGTTACTAATGGCACAGAATCAATTTTTTCTCAAATAATTAGATCAACAGATTAAATGACTTTGCTTTAAAACATTTGTTTTAGTTCAGCTTTGTATAATCCTTATTCCTAACTTGTGTGTTTAGTTTAGCTTCAGCGACTGAATCCAGTTTAAAACATTCATTTCTTAGCCATGCAGTTAACAGTGAATCAAATATGAATCAAACATGTCTTTCAACCCGTATCTATTCTGACAGATTAACTATAAATGCAGAGTGTCCAATGCGTCTGATGAACTTCCCGATGGACGGCCATGCCTGCCCGCTCAAGTTTGGGAGTTGTGAGTTTGTTTTTTTTTGTTCAGCTTCACTGCTCTGACAGATGGTGTCAATATCAAATGATCACGCTGTCACTGCGTAGCTGACTGCCTGACAGGATATCAGAAGATTTTAATTTGAAGTGTCACATGGGGAAAATTAAACGAGGTGACACTTTGGAATACGATCCCCAGATTTACAGTGTTGGATGAGGTAAAAATACAACTCCTGTAGGTACAGTAAAGGGAAACCATGGGGAACAACAACTGGGCGTGTTAGTGGAAGGGATAAATAAATTAAAGTCTGAAGTGTTTATGTAAATACTGGATTTCTACAGGGAACTGCATAGGGAAAGATGATGAAAACAACTTTGCTCATATAGTGTGGAAGCAGAGTATTACAGCCCACATACTTTATCATTATTGTGGTATACAAGGTAGAGATTTCTTATCATGACTTTATTGTGTGATATATAATAAACACTGAATAAGTAAGTGCTTGTGAAGATGTGACCCTGTCATGCATAATCGTGAGACAGTTCATGCCTCCTGGAGTAAAAAACAAACAAAACCTTTCTCAAGTGCATTGTTATAGAAAGGGTCTTTTCTCACCTGAGGAGAAGGAAAGAGAGAGAAAGTAATGTAATGATTTAACAAACCAATACAAGTAGATCAACAGTAGCTTACCTTTAATGATGAAGGAGTAACCTATAGTAATTCTTCTTTCTTCTTCGTTTATTATATGGTAAGAATAAGTCATGTGGGCTGTAATTTAATGCCCCCCCCCCCACTTCCTCCTTAATTTGTGGAAGTGGGATGTGTTATCCAGTGTTACCAACAAAACCTTTGCCAGGTCATTCAATATATATTAAGACAACCAGATCAACCAAAAAGTGAATGAAATGATCTACGCTAATGTTTTCTGTGCCTGTGAGTATAGTCAAGTCTTCTTTTAGTTCATTGTTTCATATTTTTGACAGTACAGTAATGGATTAGTGTATTTGTTATTCTCTCAAAGTCTCAGTTACTTTGCACTTTATGCCCTAAATTAGTTTAATAAGAAATAAAGAACAAACTCTCTCTAAATAATTCACCTCAAAGTTTTAACACAGCTCCTCATCCACCCGTCTAGATGCTTACCCCATCAGTGAGATCGTGTACACGTGGAAGAAAGGACCTCTGTCCTCCGTCGAGGTGCCACAGGAATCTTCCAGTTTGCTGCAGTACGACCTGATTGGTCAGACGGTGTCTAGCGAGAGGCTCAAGTCCAACACAGGTGAGAAAACACTCCGAGAGGTTTGTTCAGTTCCAGTGTGCAGTACTTAATGAGATATAACATTCTCACTCTGTTTGGAGCTACATGTGTGATTTGCTGTTGTTATGATATCGTATACTCCATTTGACTGGTCTCAGGTTTCTTTGAGGTTATGTGATATGATGACTTTTATTATAGAATAATTTAACTTAAAAAAGATGGAAAGTTTTAAATAAATAATAGCAAAAATATTGTAATATTATTACAGTTATTTTAAGACAAATTAATCAGCATCATTGAAAAAAAAAAGGTAATTTCACATATTTGAAAAGATATGTTTGGGGGCAGTCCTTCTATTTTCTGATGTTCGATCATTGGAAACTCACGTCATTGTTGTTTTCTGTCTCAGGTGAATATGTCATCATGACGGTCCACTTCCACCTACAAAGGAAAATGGGCTTCTTCCTGATCCAGACCTACATTCCCTGTATCATGACCGTTATCTTGGCCCAAGTCTCCTTCTGGATTAACAAGGAATCAGTTCCAGCTCGGACTGTGTTTGGTAAGATCTCTTTAAACTCACTTTAATGGTCTATAAACACCAAAGCAAGTTACAGGCCTATTCTCAAAATGCTCAAGTGCAAAGCGAGGACGAGAACACACACTGCACAGTGCATTACTGGTGAAATGGTAATTACAACAAAAAGGTCTTTTCAGTTTCTGTTTTGCATGATTGCAATCACCTAAAAGAACAGTATAATGTGGGGGGAAATCAAGTCGGTTCACTAAACAGAACAAGAATGTTTGGATTTTTCAAAACTGTGTTGCACATCCTATTACAGTTAAGTGTCTAACACTTTCCAGTAGTTTTACATGTTGCATGAGTCTTTGTGCTCAACAAGTTTCCATCTCTTTAAACTCAACTTTCTTTTCTACATGTTTCCAAAAAGTGAATAAAACAGTTCTCTATTTATCGACTCCCCACCCACTGCTTGACCTCACTGTGACTCTCTAGCTTGGGAAACTTAAAGTAATTCTGCATTTTCTGCACGCTGATTGGTTTAAACCACACAGATTGTCCATTAAAATACAATCTCCTGCAGGAAAACAAAGACAGACTCAGTCATCACCGTATGTTTTTAACCTCTTCTCATTATCTCCATTTCTCCTCCACTGTGGTGGAGCTGAATTAATTGGGAATAAATGTCCTTTTTGAAATTGGTCATGGAAGGGCTGAGAGGAGGAGGATGTTTACTTGGCCCTCTTCCGAGCACTCACAGGTTCCGCTTGCTCACATTACATCACGCTACAGTTGCCACCAAGCTCTAGCCTCAGGAGCGGAGAGTGTGAGAGACACTGAACAAAGACAGAGAGAGTGCGAGAAAAGAGGTAGACAAATAAGACTGGGACACAACAAAAGAGGAAAAAACTGGGAAATTGAGCTGTTGAAACATTTCCATCCTTTTTAATTTTGATTCCGCTCGTGTTAAATTCCAACAAGCTGCAGCTGATCAGAGTGACACTGCTGGCCCTTGTCGATTACGGTTCTGTGGACGGCACTTGTGATTGGAAGGGAGCCAGCTGGGGCGAGCCTGCGCACTACTTCGGTGAATAGATACCGATCATTAGTGTTAGCGTGGATGTTGAGGCCCCATGTGGAAAGCACATCTGTGGCAACTCATTAACCTCACTCATCCTGCTGTTTTCCATTTCACTCAATATTGGGTATGTGATAAAAAAACTGTTTATTCTGTGGATTGGTTGTCGTTGAATAGGAGCTCTGGGTGAACGCCAGGGATGCTGGGTATTTCAGAAGAGGTAATATAGACAAAATCTGATTAGATTTGTCAGCACAAACGGCCGAGCATCATATTCAAACTGCGATATAGTTTGTTTCTAAATTTAGAGTGTCTTATGAGAGTGCTCTTAAAGTACCTGGGAGTTACAGGATGTGTTGTAGAAATCCATTATCTAACCAAGTTGTATTAATGCTGAGGATGGGAGGAGAGGAGAGGAGAGGAGAGAGGAGGAGAGGAAAGAAGAGAAGAGAAGAGAAGAGGAGAGGAGAGAAGTAGCTATATGGATGTGCTCCACCCTGACAGTACATTAAGCCATTGTATGTTGTGCGCTGGATTGTCAACAACTTCTCTAAGAGCTGAAAGTCCCTTGAGCACAAGTCTCACAGACTTAATTGAGTGTGGCCTAATTTGTACCTTGCTTTTTTCCTATAAAAGCACATAAATGCCCCAAGCATTTAATTTCTATCCTGTCTTTATACTTCATCCCCCTTCCCTCCTACACTAGTTCCTTCTTTCTTTCTTTCTCTTTCTCTTGCCTCTCCCTCCTACCCTGACAGCTTTTCATCCCTCCTCCCCTGCACAATCATTTAACTTGTGCTTGAGCTTGAGACAGTCAGCACTGGTTGGGTTTTTGGAGGAGGTTGTATTTAAGAGTCGTTGACTTTCACTACTAAAGTGGTGTGTGGAAAATGCTTTTGATATATCGCTGGGTGCATTAAATCCCCCATGAGATCCTAATGGCAAATGCACAGCTACAGAGCACATTTGGTAAAAGCATGGACAGGAGTGTTAAATGGCCCCTTTTCCCTGCTTGCTTTAGCTTGATGAAAGTGAATTCGATATGTACTTTTTGAATTAGCCATTAAAGGAGATGTTGATTGTCAGCATCTTTGTTTGACTTAATAAGGAAAGAATTTTAGCAAGACAGACGAAAGATGTTTAATACATGTGGAGCACTCTATTTACTAACAGACGGTAGGAGCCTTGGATCTAAACAGTGTTTTTCTTTCTTCAGTTGATTCTTTACTCTGAGTCTGAAAGCAAAGAGACTGTGGTCGTCTGCACTTCAATTTGTAGCCATGGCCAGAAGTTTAGAGAAAGTTTTTACAGACGTCTTAAAAGCTTAGTTTACTTCAGCTCAACAAAAAGATCCAAAAGGAAAATGCAGTTATTGTCTAACCTCTCCCCTGATACAACCTGCAACGCTCTTTCTGCGATAATCTTCATCATTCATCACTTGCATTATCTGGTCTATTCCTTTTACTGAAATCTCACTCATATGCTCATATTGTGATCAACAGATGAACAAAACTAGTAAAATATTAGCTGATTCTTTGGAGCTTTTGTTCGCTCATCTCACTGGATGGTTTTCTTGAGTTTACAGATATTTGATCTTTTTTTGTGTGCCAGTTCAAAGTCCTCCTGCTGACACCCTACATACATGTATACCATGGACAGAACTTATCCTGTAATACTATAAACAGCTTATGCACAATGTTGTAAAGGATATTTTTAACTTGATAACTTTCAACACTTGTGTCAATGATCGACTATGGTGCACGCCGAGACCTCAGATGAAGCTTTGTATCATCTGCAGCTGCAGCACGAGTGCTTCAACTGCTACAATCTGTGCAAAGCTGAAAGGATCTCAGACGTTATTTGGCAAATGGTCATTTTTGGTAATAGGGCTGAAATTGTAACTTCCAGAAAGACTCAGCAGTTTTTGTTTACCACTAAAAGAATAAAATATTGTAGATTTGCAAAAAAATAATTTTATAATAGTTCACATTAACTTATAATTATATTCCATGTCCCTATGAAAACAATTCAACGTGAGCTAGCAAAGGTATCTGTAAACTTTGTGGGAGGATTGCTCACCCCCACTGAAATATTGTGTGTGTGCGTGTGTGTGCATCTAGAGTGTGTGTCCCAATCAAGCTGATTGCAGTGGTTGCTCACAATCAGGCCTCTGGTTTTTTATTGACCAATGGTCATATAGGCCTTGAGTTCTATATATCAGGATTAAAAGAATCACACACACACACACACACACACACACACACACACACACATTGATCAGTGACTGTATTAGTCCTGCAAACGGCCGCTGTCTGCTCATTCTCCTCAGTATTGTGGCAGGACTGTGTTCTGCACATTCATAAAGATTTTATCAACATCCCCAAACATTAAGACCAATGTTTAGAAGACATTGATATTTTTCCATCCCATCACAGAGATGTGACAGGAGGAAAAGATATCAGGAAATATGCTAATCCACTTCCAAGATCGATACCACTGTCATGTCTGAGCATTAAATATGAATTCAGAGCCAAGAGGCAATCAGCCTAAGTTAGCATAAACACTGCAGGCGGAATATGGCTGTGTGCCTCTGAGGAATGCTAATTTAAAGGTTATATGGTGTTTGTTTGATCTTCACATAAACAGAAATGTAAAATAATAGAAGAATAAACTTAAAATGAATTAATATAGAAGTAGTGATGGGGAAATGGCAGGACTATTTGAATAAATTTGGAGAGAGCAAACCCTCAGGCTATATATTTTAATCATCTGTGTAGAGATGTTGTAGGCTACTGATTTTATTATTTAACTCTCTGCAAAAAAAGTATGTTTATATAATATGTATATTTAACAAACTGCTTGTGACAATGAACAGCAGCATCTTACATCTGTCCTGTCCCTGTTTGCAGGTATCACCACTGTCTTGACCATGACAACACTCAGTATCAGCGCCCGCCACTCTCTCCCCAAAGTTTCATATGCCACAGCCATGGATTGGTTCATCGCCGTGTGCTTTGCTTTCGTCTTCTCTGCTCTGATTGAGTTTGCGGCCGTCAACTACTTCTCCACCCTGCAAGCCAACAGGGAGCTGCGGAAGGCAGCGGCTATGAAGGCGGCAGCTCAGGAGGCGGCGGCTGCAGCTGCAGCTCCGGCCGCAGCCACAGGGACCGACGGAGAAGTTTCCTCAGTAAGTCTGCTCCCCCATGTTTCACACTTGTTCTTTTGGCATACATAGCTGTTACGCAACATTTAATGCATTTAATTAATACATTTAATGTCTAAGAAAGGGAACCAGGAGATGATTCGAATGTTCAACAGATTCAGTTTAAATTCATTTTCTACACTTAGAGGGATGATCAGAACAGAAACATCCACTGATTTGACTTTTTCTTTCTGCTGCCAATCCATATCTCCAAACTTGATAGAGATCAAGCATTTGCCAGTCCAGTCATTTCTCCCTCCATCTCAATATGCAAACATATGCAAACCTCAAAGTGCAGGATTGTTAAAGTTCATGCGTTATATTCAAGGTATCTGGTAACAGTATATCTACACATCAGCTTTTAAATCTTAAAGATTATGAAAACCTGTAAATACAATGAATTTATAAACCTCCTAACATCAGACATAAGCTGCTAAACAACTTTACTCTACAGAGCTTTTAAGTCTGTCGCTGGAGGTTTGTCATAATGACGTCAGACCTGGTTTTCTGAGCTGTTGGCGCTTACTGAATGTTGTCAAACATGTAATAAAAACGTTATGTGTCTGTGTAATGTTTCAAAACAACTACATAAAATGTCCAAATTATAAAAGGCATATTGAGAAAACGTTAGTAAGCTCACCACCCACACTCCTGGTGTCACAGTCATAATCTTTCGCTGCCTGCACAATAATATGCATCGAGGCATTTGAAAAAGTTGTTCCACAGAAAATAAAGAAATAAACATCAACAATCTTTACTTTCCTGTATGGATCAGTCACATCAGCCAATGTGATGAAAACTCTATTTGTTTGGGTTTTTGATGAAATTGCATCATGACTTATGATGTTTTACATGAAGTTACTGGTTGCACTGCAATCACTTGTAAGAGATTCCAGCAGAACGTGTGTGATTTATTATTAATTTTAGTTTGGCTGAATTATGACTCACAAAAGAAGGGATGGGATGTTTGATACAATATGCAGCATTGCAATGGGAGAGGTTAAAAATAAACTGCCAGAAAATGGGGCCAGAACATAGATAGCCTGGGATATTAGGGTCAGATTCTGGATGTGTACACATACATTTTCTGTGATATGCAGTTATATTTCACACTCACTCCTTTATTATTTGAATTATATGTGCACGGTATAAGCTGCAGCTAAAGTTCAGTGTTCTAGCTTTCAAGGACGAGTGATGAATGTCATAACCAGCTGTTTCAGTGTTATTATAGCCACAAAGCATTGATTACTCAGCAGATGAGGGGGTTCAATTCTGTTTATGTGACTTGTGTATGATTTTTCTCTACTTTCTGACTTGCTCCCTCTGCAGCACACTTTCTCCTTCCCATTGCAATCACACGTGCAGCGTGTGCAATCCAAACAATAAACAAACCTAGTTTATCCTCTGCCTCAGCCCAAAGAAAATCGTAATCTTGCTTACATCACATACGTACAAACCCCCAGCCCTCTTTAATTTCTTCTGCCTCATGCACACACACAAAAATGCAGCGTTTAACATTATCCTTCTTTTTCTGCCTCATCTCCGTAACCTCCTGCTGTGCTCTTCCTGTGCACCCTACATTCTCTCCTCACTCTCACCCATGCACACACACACATACAGTATCTCTTGACCATCCCTCTTTTGCCTATCTATGTCTTGCTTGAATGTAACTACTTACTCGCACTGAAACGACACAATCTCTACTTTATCCACGCTTGTCCTCACACAAGGACACACATCCACACTTAATCTGCAGCACACACTTAAACACATACAGGCATGTATATATGCACACATGTAATCTGCAGCAAATGATGCCCCTCACATTCATGCAATCCACACTCTATACAATGTCTTATCCATCCATCCATCCATCTACGGTATATCTATCATCCATCGCTCTTGCCTGGTCCGCTATTCTGCCCTGTAACTGTGTGATAACCACAGAGAGTGACACGAGGAGACAGCCAGTGGCTCTGTGAACGATGTTGCTACAGATTATGTAAGAGCCATAGATTAAGGGAATATCCAGCAGATCACTGCGGGCTCACAAGCAGGAGGGCAGCCACCACACTGACGTGGAGTGGGGGCTGAGAAAGCTGGCCCAGTCCATTTTTGTGGATAGAAGATGGAGGGACGGTGTGGTTTGTTTTTGTGTGTGCATGAGAGAAAGTTACACGGAGAGAAAGAGAGAGTGGGAGGGATGCATCATGGAAAATGACTGCTTTCACCAAATATGTAGGAGGGAAGACTTTCCATTACACAGAGAAAGAGAGCGAAAAACACCAAAACAATGGTGTATCACTGGAAATAGCTGTCCCTCCGTCATGATTTAAAACACTACGACCTGTTGTGACTGTCAGATAGAGCCGCAACAGGAATGGGAAACTCGCAGCAGTCAAAGTTTAATGGTTCATTTAATGAATCAAATATAGACAGCGTGTAGGGGGAGGGGCTGTTTATCAGTGAGTGCAGAGGGAGCTGTGTGCATTGTCGATGGTGTGTGTGAGTGGGTGGTGGAGTGCGTGGTGCAGGAAATTAAGAGAAAATAAAACAGTCGTAGGAGGAAGTGAAGGAGAAGAGAGGGTGATAGAAAGAAGGGAACTTTATTTACTGGCCCAGACACAGGTGCTGGTAGATCAGTGATCACTGCTTGGGTGAAGGAGCGCTCTGATTGAATTGGGACAGTTTTGATTTTCATGCATTTGTCTCAGTGTCCCTATAATTAGACTGAATGAATGAAATGAATTTCAAGCTCCGGCAACATTGCTGTCGACATAAGATTTCATGCACCATCGTACTTGCAGCCACACACTGGGTTTATGTTCTCACCTCAGACAATTTGTTTGTTGGTTTGTTGTTGGTAGATTATGTAAAAACTACTGGATAGATTCAAACGAAACTTAAGGATTCATTATGGGTCATTAAATTTTGGTTCTAAGGGCGGATCAGGCAATTATTTGTCACTGTGTTTTCTGACATTTTCACAGATTTCCCAGGGAATAATTCATAAATCTTGACGATATGTATAAGTGTGTGCAAATAGGTGCAGCCTGATTGAATTTAAGGGAACTATTGGGCCTTGGTGGAGGAATGCACTCTGCTGAGAGCCCTTCTTTCATTATTCTTTCATTATTCCACATTCAAATAATGGAACCTGAGGATCCTCCCTCTATGGTTGTTGAATGTCAGTTTTATAGAGTACAGTACAGCACACAGACACACAGTGTTCCACACACACATTTAAACAAATTTAAACCTTACTTTATCAAGCAGCAGCAGTTTGCATCTCAAAAGCTGCTTTAGTAATCCAACAGATGTCTTCCATCTGCTACGGTCAAAATCAATGTTTAAAATCCAATATTTGGTTTAAAGAAATTACTTCGCCCTTGGGCAATTGTTTAGCAAGAAATATCTTCTGCTCTGTTTTGATTTTTCTCCTAGTCTTCCTTTGGGGATCACTAAGTGACCTAACCATTTTGTTGATTTGGCAGAGAGGGTTGTGTTGTCACTAGAAATGTTACAGTTCCCTGGGGATCAAGTCACAAAGCAAGTTAGTGGCTATAGATTAATAAGTTCATCAAGTTGGAGCTTTTTGCCGTGTTTACAGTGAGGTGTAATATTAAGGGGATGTTGTTAAATATTTTACTCTCAGCTGGTCAAGTAGTCTGTGTTTTCACTTGACAGTTTCACTGAACCTTTCACATGATTCTGCATATGTAACACATACTAATACCTATTGTGTATTTTTTTATAACTTCAAACACCTTACAACAAATGAATAGTCTAACAGCAGCTATCCTGAGGTAACTCATTGCCTTGCTTGAAATACACTATTTCAAAAAGTACATTTACATGAAATCCATGTGCAACACCTCGCAATATTCATCCACAAGCATATGTACACCCACTCAACACCCACGGACATGAACTTGCATGCAAAACACAGTGGTAGTGCACAGTAATGGTGGAACACACAGTATTAAACACATATAAACACACAGCTGCTCCCACTCCCCAGCCCCCACATGTGAATATTCGCGCCTAAACACCAGCCATATATCCGTCAGTCAGTGGTCAAGTCTGTTGAAATCTAGAGCAGTGGATAAAGAGAAGAGGAGCTGATCCCTGCAGGATTTGACCAGGAAAAAGCCGAGCGGGCCTGTTGTCATTATCAAAAATAGCTTGTGTATCGGATTATCTGTACATACCTACAGTAGAGAACACCACACGGCAATGCGGTCAACGTGTAGGAACCATTAAAGTGATAGGTCGCCGACATTTGGAGGGGCAGCCAAATTCCTATTCGAGCACAAATCCTCAATACTCAAATTAACTTTGACCTCACAAATGAGCAGTGATAGGACAGGAGGAGACGCACAGGGCCTCGGTCACAGGGCACACACTCTATTTCACTGATGAGTGAACCAAATGTCTGGCTGATCAGTTGTTAGATCACCTGGACCCACTCCCTCTCTCAGCTATTTCCCCTGTTGTGTTACTAAATGTTTTGTTTTTATTGTCTTTTATTTCCATTTCCATTTCAAATTGCTATTTTATATTTTTACTCTTGTGTCTGTCAAGAGTAAAATGGAGATAAGATATTTTTTCTGATGATTGCAGTCCCTTAAAGAAACGTCTCACACTAATGACGCCTGAAGAGAATTGAGAAACAAAATGTTTTAATCACAGTGCAGATTCTGTTTTTTCCCTCCCTCTTTGTCCTCCCTCCTTTTCACACTCACACTTGGCAACTACAACACAGTGAAGGTTGATATTATCCCAGTAGTTAAACAGAGAGGATAGAAAGACATTCTGTAATTGTTCCAGAACTTGTTTCAGAATCTCATTTTTAACCACTGGTCCTTGATCCCGGTGGACAACATCATGAGATTAAGGAAAGATTTTAAAAAAACAACAAAAAAAACGTCAAGAAATCGATCAGCTTTTTTCACAAATCATTCCCTTGGAAGAAAATGTACAATTTTGAAAATCACCTGATCTTGTAATGTTAAAGAGAAAAGAAATTGATGGATATGCACCCTGATCCAGATCCACTCCAAAATTGAATGGACTCATCAAAACCACATCCATCCACCAGGTTTCATGGAAACCTGTTCAATTCTTTCTCTGTAATCTCGCTTACGGGGGGAATACATAACCTCCCTGGCAGAGGTAACAGAAATGTTCTATGTGACATTTTTCCTCTGTTATATGTGTCATGGGTTATGCTTTAGACAGCTGACCGTCAGTTCGAATAATAATTTGGCTCAACATAATCAAATCTATATTGTTGCATGATCACATGAATTGCACATTTTTAGCATAGCTGTCATCGAATGGTTGATGAGTTGAGCATCAAGGACATGTCATACTAATAACAGTGAAATCTTTTATTAAACATTCTGCACAATTCATTTTTGCACATTTACTATTGGTTGAAACTCTTACATCTGCAAATATGTCAATTCTGTGAAATTAATAACTCAGGGACTTATCTTATCTCATTTTAGATCGGCCACCGTGCAGTTTTGGAAGGGTTCCCCTCAATCAGAGGATTGTTACAGTTTAATAGTTTCTCAACCTGTAGAGGGGCTTGTAATCCTGTAGCCTGACAAATCCAACGCAAATCTCGCAAGATCAGTTTTGGCTCCAAGACTCTAGTCTGCAGAAACATCCATCGTGTTCTGAATTAAATCCAACAGGGAGGCTGAACCAGTCAGTCAAATATTCAGCACATGAGCGCACTGAACATAACTCTGCAAACGTATGGTTCATTTCTCAATCAAATGAATGAGGATAATAAGTAGATAAATATCATGGTGTTCAGTATGAAATCAGTTTAAGAATCAAAACAAAACAAATAGAGAGAATAATCTTATGTCACTATGAAGAGAACAGCCTTGCAATCATAAGGTCTCACAGGACAAAATGTTAAATATTCAATCATGTTTGTCTTGAATTGTTTGTAATGCTCAGTTCCTGTCTTCAATATCATAAATCAAAGGATCAATAAGTTACAGTCTGGTCTATTTCTGTGGTCGATTTTAGACTTTGTACAATTTATTTGGTTTAAAAGAGGATTGCATTCTCTCTTTTAGTTTCACTCTCAACCTACAGACAACAAGCTGTTCCCTGACCCATTTCCCAGATGTGCATTCCCTTTCTCTCTCTCCACACATACTGTATCTGTTTTACAAGTATCGGAGCAGGGGCCATGTGCTGCAGAGCACATTGCTTTACTCAAACTTGATGAGGCACAACATTAACCGTGTGTCAAAATACCGCGAACCTCTTTTGTTTGATGGGTTTTGTTTGTTTCCCACAACTGCATCAATCTTCATGAAGCGGGTTGACTGAAATCACATAAAATTTTTGTTGAGCTTAATTACTGTGGTCCTCATTGGTATGCAAGACGTCGAATTCTGCAGACACACACATTCCTCACTGATCAACTCACAGCTGTGCAAATGTGGCACGAACATCAGGGTACAACAGCACAGCACCAGTTTCATTATTAATACCCTCATATTACATCATGCAATATTCTCTTTAATGTAAATTGCCTCTCACAGTTTCTATGTTTCTTTCCTCTTTGCCTCTCCAAGGTGGATGCCACTAGTGTGCTGAAGAAGAGGATGAACTCCGCTCCGCTGTTTGACCGCCCAGCCAAAACGTTTCCCAACCCACCTGTCAATGCCCAAGCCTTCCTGCAGCAGGGTTCAGCTGTGCCGGCCAACAATGTTCTGACTGGCACTAGCATCATCGACAAATACTCCCGCATCCTCTTCCCCCTTTCGTTTGGCGCGTTCAACCTGGTCTACTGGATCGTGTATCTCACCAAGGACACCATGGAGATGTCCAGGTGAACAGATGGCATGGTTCTTACAAACGATTCCAGCATTTGCTTTCTTGTACATGAAGCACAGGGCAGTGTTTGTTGCGTAACTCAGATGGTGATGGCGTGACTTTTTCTATACAACTACCTCCTTACTGAATATAATTAGTTGTTAAATCTTGGACAACCTCAGGCAGGATACAGCAAAACATATGCACACCTTCTGCATGTGTGTGTTCATGCAATAGCTTGGTTATAGCCCATTATTATAATAGGAAAGTTCACAACAGCCAGCAAGTCAAGGCATCTAGCAGATGGGTTGATACAATTGTGATCGTCTAAAGCTCAATGTAATAGTAGATTGGTGCCATGAAATTGAATAAAGTCTGCAAAGATTATTAACACAGTTGGTGTTGATGAGTTCATAAAACCTCATGGAAGCTTATTATTTGGCATAATAATAATGAATTGCTAAGGAGGGGAAAGCAGGACTCATGAAATCAGTGTAGGCCTACATACATGTATATTTCAGATTGTATACAAGTACTTTGGGGCAAAAAAGACCACATCACATACTGTACTGCATGTTAGACTGATCATAGAGTGGGTAATATATGTGTAGATTCTCAGCACAAGAACTAGTATTTAAAACCACATTTCAAAGCACATAACAAGGTTCAGAGCCAAATACTCAGAAAATAAGATACACAAAATATTGGTCATCCAATGTTTTGCAATATGTCTGATATTTTTCAGTGCCAATTTGCTCAATGCTCAAAGCCTGTAGGTGTCTGTGATTTCATTCAGATTGAAATATGGTCTAAATAATGGCAGGAAAATGAACACAAACTTCTAGTGAGTGTCGGAACAGCACATTATGATGTGTAGACGTAATGCTAGCTATTCATAACACTAAACCAAGGCACAACCATGCTAAAGGTAAACTTCATCTTGCTCAAAGTGAAAATATTAGCTGCTAGTCTTTACAGCGGTGGCCATTTTAGCAAGATATATAACTTGATCTCCACTAAACACAGTTAATTACTGATGCTAATACTTTTGTTAACAAACCTATTTACTGGCAATCCATCCTGTTTTTTAGAGATGCTTCAGTTTGGTCGACCTAATGACTGACAATATACCCCTAATGCCATGCCGCAGATGGTTTGTTTCACTGAACTATCCAGGAGAACTAAGTTGGGAATTAGTTTGGAAAAAGGGCAGACGGCTTCAAAAAACACTTGGCAGGTGACTGGATAAACCATCTGTCTATCACCGTCAGTACAGTTGCCAAAGCCAGTCAGGAGAGGAGAGAAATCATTTTCTCCATTGAGAAAAGCCTTCAGTGCCATTCTTTAATCTTTTTTCAATGAAGAAATACAGATAGTGTATCCACTCTAGCAAACCTATTTAGGAGAAGCTATTGTTGTGAATAAACAGCCCTCTCCTTCTTGCTAAGACACGCCCGTAGCCTCCAGCAGTTGCTAACACATCGGACACTGATTTTTCCAAACCACTGTGGTTCGTCCAAAAGCCAAAATATTGGTGCATTGGTTTTGGATATTGGATAAATCTCATCTTGTTTTTGATATTGATCAAAACGCTGAACATCACTTGAATCAGCAAACAAACAAAACCGCTCTAGTGGTTGTCAAGATAAATTGTGAAGGCTGAAAAGGTGCATTCACGTAATTATTTCATTTACATGACCCACAGTTTTTATTGATAACAGATATGTACATCAGTCTAAATAGCCAAAACAACTTGTCTGTCAACAAATCACAGAGCAGTATTTTCATGACATCAAGTTGTAATCATTACCTCCATGGATCCTGTGGGCTGCGACACTTTGACAGATTATTGAGGGTTATATTTGACAAATATATTGTCAAGTGTGTGTTGATTTGAACTAACCATTTTTTTCTAAAGAGACGGATATGCCTGCGTGTGCATTTATGTTCACACTATCAATGTGCACCACCGTTCTTGAGGCTTTTCAACTGTGTGGGTTCAGCCTGTTTCATTCCTTGCTCTCTCTCTCATAAGAGAAAAGCCCTGAGGCCTGAACTGAGACAAGTCCGATGACATGACAGTGTTGGCAGCCATTGGGATAGCTCTGTGTGACTAACCCTCTTAGTGACACTCTCTTAACCGTTTCTATTAATTGATAGGGACCGTGAGCAACAAGCAGATCCCGACAAATGGCTTGTCAGAAAGCAGCAGAAGCGGTGGCCTTAAGGCTCGGTGATACAACAAGAAACAAAATAAGCTTATAACACACTATGAATGTGTGTTTCTAACTACAGGAAGCTCTGCAGATGCATTCATTGTATGACTAAGCAAGTGCAGTGAGTGGGGGGAACAATGAAATAAAAGAGGAGGTGATATAACACACTGCCCCAGGGCGGCCAACTGAAAATCCCAGAGGTGGAAACAGGCCAGAGCAAATAAAAGGAATGACCACAGGTTGTCACTGTGATCAGTTGTGGTCACATTCACTCGGGTGTAAAAGTCAAGATATCTAGCATGTTAAGCTGTCAGCAGATATGGTTGCTGCAGATGGTCTGGTAGAATTTATGGTTGAGTTCACCGACGAGCCTGGTAATCCAGGTGCTTGGTACTTGGTTTTTTTTGGGTTTTTTTTACAGAAAATATCCGTTCTTGATAAAATGGAGGCATCTGGAGGCAATTACCCTCTGGGTTTAGCGGCCAATATTTCAGGGCTTCTGGTGTAAACATTGGATATCCAGACCAAGACCTTCTGCTCAGAAATGTCTCCTCACCTACAGATTCTGCAAATTCACATGTAGAATCTTTTGTACAGAGATTGCATATAAAATGGCATGAAACAAGGCGGAGTCAGCATGCTGTCATTTAACATGCTGTCATTTATCTGATCCACAACCACTGAAGGATCTGTATGGGGGAGTCAGTGGCATGAGCCTATGACAATGAGTTAATCATTTCAGACGCATAACCCAAATCCTCCTGACTGGAGTTAACACATTATGATAGTAATGAAATATAATGTGTTTGTGGAGGTGTGAAGCATTTTGGTGTGTTTTGGCTGAGCTATGTTCTATTTGAAGGCAACAGTAGAACATAGCTGAACCATGATACACTGTAGAATCACACTTCCACAGTTAATACATTGTATTTCATCTTTGCCTTTATATAGCACCACCCACACTGGTGACCCCTTCATTCTGAGTAAGATCCACCACAATCCAGATATCACAACCAGCAAATGAAAGCGGCCATTCCTTTTCACACCAGAGAAATAAATATACAGCTCCAATGACCCCAACTGAAAACAGATGACGCTGTTTAGGATGCTTTTTCTCTCTTTTCAACTTTGCTTTTATTATAGAGGGCCATCCTGCAAAGATAAGCTGGACCAGGAGAAAAGAGTGTGTTGTTGTGAGAGTGTGTATGCAGGTGGATTTGTGTGTGTGTGTGTCTACTTCTGTGAGGATACAAGTGTATAAATGTACCGTGGCAGCAGTGCCTACCGACCGGGGGCTATTTTAAATGAATAGCGCCATTCAGGGCGAGACATGAAGGAAACAAATTTGCTGAAAACACTTCCTTTCTACGAAGGGCCCCAGCTGGTTGGCTGACTGGTGGCCGGCTGGTTGGCAAGCTGACTGGTGTATGTGTGTCAGAGTAGGTACAGCAGGCGATAAGCCCTGCTCCTCTTTATTGCCCATCAGAGTGCCACGTTTGGAAAACAACTTCCTCATTGTTGCTCATAAATCAAAGCCACTAAATGCTGTTTCCAACCCAATTCCTATTTTCGAGTGTGGGGCCGCGGCCATAACTTTGGTGTAATGATCATTCAATTATAGGCCACTCAGTCAGGAAGCAATGAAAACCGATATAAACAGCGACCCCCTATCTATCATCTTTCTCTCAGTGGCCTTGTGGGAATTACCGCATCCGCCTTTGTTACCTAGTTTGTGTGTGCTTGCATGAATGCACACTCACACGCGTACCTGAGTTTACATGAACATCTATGTGACGTGTGTAAAATCCCTATAAGACAAATTGCTATCACACCAGAAACCTGCTCTCTGTTCCCGACTTACTCTTAACATATACATGCCGTTTCCTACTATCCCTCACACTCAATTGCTTTCTCTATTTCTCACTTTATCTCTGTGTCACTCTTGCAGAAACACTCTCTCCCTCTCTCTGCTGCCCCCTCCCCTGTCTCTGTTCTCCCCCTCCACACCCATCTCTCTCTATTTCCCTTGGTGAGCTGCCAGTACTCTGCTCCCTCTTTCATATAAGCCAGGACAGCCCAACAAGCAGAGTGCTGTCCCTCCACCTCATCTACTCGGCATTAAGCGTCCAACCACATCATCCTGTCCCTGTAGGAATGTGTGTGTCTATTAGTCGTCTTTACTCACTCTGTAGATGCATGTTGGCCATCTGGTTACAGTTAATGTGGCGGGGCAGCTTTGTCTAGAGAGAAATGGTCCCATCACTGAAAGGTCACAAGTTCAGTCTCTGCAAGAAACAACCAGAGTTTGTCATTGGGTGTCATTCCAGTCACAAAGCAAGAGGCTCACTTAAAGTCACTCTAGATACAGTTATGACTTATCCACTATTTAAAGGTTCAGTGCGTAAAATAAAGGTGTAAAATATATCGCAAATGTGTTTCATCTAAATAGTACGAATTGTTGTTTTCTTTACCTATGAATGAGCCCTTTATGTTTGAATACTTTATATTTACATCGTGAGTGGTTCCTCTCTACGGAGGTCGCCATGTTTTTTTTACAGTCGGCGAGTTTTTATAACAACTGACGGCTGCCACGGGTTCTCTTTCATGTTTGGAAGGGGAAGATGAGGTGAGGGGTGATCAGCTGCAAAATGCAACGTCACCACTAGATCACTAGGTCACTAAATTCTAAACACTAAAAATGTAAGTGTCGTAAATAAAAGTATTAGTCACAAATAATCGAGAGCTATAGTCAACAATGACCATACAGCAGAACAGAACCGAACGGCACAGGCATGTCATCTCCTGGCCACCTCGCTTCGAAGCATCATTTAATTTTATTTTTGTATCAATGCAAAAATGAATATTGACGGTTCTTGTTTCTAATGTGTTGTTTATTTATTTTCACAGAGAAAACAGCAAGAAAACTATTAAGTAGTTGCATACATGCACTTTGTGCCATGGGATTCTTCTTTTCCAAATACTGCAATGTATATTATTGTGTGTGTGTATTCATGAGTATATTATCTTCACATAACTGTATTGTATTATTGCTCATGTGTTACGGCATCAAACTGAAAAAAAGAGCTGTGGTTCGATGAGACTTTCATGTTCGCCTCCATCGATTTTCATATGAGCTTTTGTTTCTCAGTCTACTGGGAAAATGAGAAAAGCTTGGTTTGATTTTGCTGTTGTTTTGGAATCAATTAAGATTGATCCATCTCTAAAGTGCAAATTAATTAGTGATATTTTATCATTGTAGCTGGACACAATTGTTATAGATGGTTCATTATAACCCAGCAATATACTTTATACCAATGAAATCAATATAGTGCCCTGCAGTAATACAATATTATTGCTTTATGAATCAATACACAGCAATTAGCCTTTGACCATGGTGCCTATTACTGAGCTGAAATTTACATGCATGTGATACTTGTCATATACCAGTTACAAAAAACGTTCTTGTATTTGTTGCGTGCATTGTAGAAATTGCTGTTTTACATCCTAAATCAATTGAATTTACCATAATGCAGCTTTCTCATTTGCCAACTCTGTCCCCAATGGCCTTTCTCAACTACCCACCAACCAAAACCACACAGAAATTTGGCGTCCAATATTATCATTATTATTTTATATTATTTTGCCAGCAGCTAGGTCCTCTGGCGGAAAAATGGCTCTGAGTGCTGTCAAAAGTATCTCCTGCATTAACACATCAGGCGGAGGAGGAGGTGGAGGTGTGAACTACCTGGCAGAGGTTCCCAGACAAGTTTCATGAGATCTTTGCGAACAGTTCTGGCAGCGAGGGGACTGAATAAATTCTGATTTTAAATTCAGCCCAGAACGGATGCCAGCCTTCACAGCCAGACTGAACAGGAGCGCGTTATTACATCATACCAGAGCTCATTTGTGCTTACAGATGTAGACAGATGTGAAATGGTGTAGGAGTATGTGTAGGTGTCTGAATTCATATATATGCTTGAATACACTTAAATGTATTCCATAATTCTAAGAGGAAACCTTTAAGGCAGGATAGCAGGGCACACCACATCTTTCTCCCTCTGTCTCTCTTTAACACACATGATACACACAGTTATCATTATTGACTCATTCTACCTGTTTCTCTTCTTTCTGTCTTACAGGGATACCATCTAAAAGAGTTTGTCCTGGAAATCACACACACACACACACACACGTGCACAATTAATAGATGACAGACACTTGCCAAGCACTCTTTCATGCCGCCTCAGTGCATTGTATTTATTTTTACATACTCTCTTGGAGAGTGAGTGTTTTGAGGGCAGATGCACCAGCTCCTCCTGCCAACGTGACCCAAGAGCTCACAGCCTGTGGGAACCAGGCTCTGGAACTATTTCAAACAGGTACTGCATCTCTCTTCGTCCCTCTCATTTCATCCCCAAGTATTTGAGAAAAAAAAAAAAATGTTTGACACTTTGTCAGTGTCCGTCCAGTGTCCCTTGCTCGATGGGGGTGATTTTTTCTGTATGCGTGCAACAAGCATGAATATCCACACTCAAGAGCAAATTTACACGTGTTTGAAATGACACTTTTCCCTCCCTGACATTTGAGGGGATGAGTGTACCAGTTGCACCGACTGCGGCCAGTGTGACTGACTAATTTGAAAGAACTCTCTCACTCTTTGTTCATTCTTCCGCTCTTCATTTCCCACCCACAAAAAAACACTCTTTTTTTGGTTCATGGGCTTAATTTCCCTCTGCTGATGGAGTACAGAGGATGTGAAGCTAAATCTTCAAAGATATTTTTACAGTGTGTACTGCAGATAAATTGGCTCGGTTAAATATTCAATGTCACGTGCATGTAATATAATGGAGAAATCTGCTCATGCAAATATCAAAAAATACGCACATACCACTCACGTACACATTATTTTTTCCAAGATTTTTATGTTAACAGGATTCCATGTCCTGTAGCATTAAATAAGTCGTTGTGCTCCATTTCTGGAAAAATCTTGGAAAAAAGCTTTACCTGCCTACAAAGAAGAAAGAAAGTAATCTATTGCACGTGTACTACCTAGCATAAGCATAACGTTATCTTGGCAGGAACCTGTCTTTGGAGAGATTTAGGCCTTTTTATTCCATCGCTGATATAGTTTTCTTTATATCTTAATTGTTTCTATTGTAATCATCTTAATTGGAGTTAAATCATTTCCACACAAATTATCTCTTGAGATGGCAGCTCTGGCTTCTGGTGTTCTTTATTAAAAAAAACTGCATAAAACAGAAAGCTAAAGCTATCATCATCAATTATACGAAATGCCAAAACGTATTCATTAATAATCCACTTGGGCGGATTTGCATATGATTATGCACTGTTTCCAATTAAGTAGAGAGGGTAACATGTTAAAGCCATGTGGCGTCTAAATATAAGCAGTGTGTTTGCTTCCTCATGACATCCATCATCCACGAGGATGCTCTCATTAAAGGTGTCTCTTATTAACACAGGCACCTTTTTAAAATGAAAAGCCTGCAGTGTGCCAAAGGATTACACACGTCCTGGAATCTGTGCACTTCCTCTGGTTCTTTAGCTGATGTTTGATGAAACTTGTCATGCAAACTACAAAAACTGTACAGTGAGATAGTACTGAGAAGTGCCCCTGTTTTCTTTTATAGTCTTAAAAATGCTGAGAGCTCAAACAAAACATGTTATGAGAACGAGAGGAAGTGACTTTGTTTTGTACTTCTTTCATACAGCGTCATGAGTTTTTTTATACCACTTGGGAATCAATCTCTTCATTTGTTGTAATGTTATTATGTTTACATCTCATGAGCACTTTGATTTGTGAACAGAGCCACATGGTTCAACAGCCAGTGATATATCAATAGCGCATGATTACAACTGGTCATCTTATACATGATTTTTCTTCTTTTTTTGGAAGAATAAATATATGCAATGAAATTTAAAAAATGTAATATAGATTCTAGTTGGAGCCTTAAAATTGGAATCTGTTGCTTAAAAGCATTTCCTGATGTTGCAAAGCTTTCATGGACTGGTTGCAAACAAGCAATTCTATCGCCAGACAACACCATCAATATTTGAAAAATCTGTAAAAACTTCATCCAGTGCCAAGGATTTTAAATCATCGCTTTCTTCATCTGTGCATGGCAGCTAATGATGTCACTGAAACTCTGAGGGGTTCGAGGTTACAAATGAAAATCTCCCGTTATTATCAGACACTCGACTGTGAATCTTTGTTGAGTCAACGTTGGAATGAAGTGTAACTATGGCCTTGTGTCGTCAGTTTTTGGAGCGCAAAGGATTTGCTAATTTTAAGACCTGTTGTTGCATGTTTTTTCTCCTATGTGTACACCAGTGGACTAAAGTAACAGTGGTGTCAGACTGTGTGAAGTGTCCTCCCTCTTTCTCCGCTTCATTCATCACCCTCCTCTCCCTCTGTCAGTGAGGCAGAGGCTGAAGAGACAGGGCTCCTCAGCTCTTGTTGTCCTGTATGTCAGCCCCTGTTGTGGGTAAACCTGACTGCCAGCAAACTCAGAGCGCCACACAACTGCTGGCTCCACCACCCAGTGGAGCCTCGGAAAACTGACGACCTCCCTCCTCCAGAGTGTCGTCCTGCAGAACAAACTTCAGTTGAATAGCAAAACAGAAAAACGCTGCGGTGAGTGCGTGTGTGTGTGTTTGCAGTTTCTCTTCTCTTTTTCTTTTTTTTCTTTTACACGACTGAGCTCATTTGCTTTTATCAGCGACCCGTTTGATCTGCCCTCTGACCCCAGCCTAGCTCCGCAGCTCCATCGCACCACTGGGAAAACCGCACTTGCATGACCTCCAACCCTTTATGTGCTTGTTAGGGTTGCTGAATGTAGAAGGTTGTGAACTCCATAGAATATAGAATTCTATTGCTATGGTGACTGCAGCCATAAAACCGTTCTTTATTCACTTTGTTTCATGTCATTCCACAGGCATGAGCTTTATCGATTCTTTCATTTAGCCAGTTTTAATTCGTTTCGACACTGTCCTCTGCCTAGAAACTGTGGAAGCAATTTAGAAGACGATGAATGCTTAACATTGTTATTATTTTGTGTATATTTTGTGAATATTATTAAGTATTTCTGTAGGTTGCTGTTTGTATTCCAGCTGTATAACCCTGCTTGATGATCTGCGTTAGCCATACTGGTTTGAATGACAAACCACAACTTTTGTAATGTGGGAGTTTAGTTCCTCCTCATGTGCTCCGTGTACACATCGCTCTCTATTAGTTTCTACTGTCATGATGATCGCCTGCTTTATTGCAACATAAAAAGATATTTGCATATTCAGGTGTTTTGTCCCCCGAATTAATGAAGAAGAGTAAATATAATAAATCGCCTAAATTAGCCCCCACTCACTTTTCCCACAGAATTGTATATTACTGTATTCAATAAAGATAATTATGTATTTCTCTCCTCCCAAGTCTTCTTGTGTAAAACCACCATTCTGTGTTTTAAAGTAACAAGTGGGGCGTCGCTCCTTGTGGGATCTTGAAAATACAGTCTTTGTTGTAAGATGTTGAAGATGCAGTCTCTGAAGGCCTCCTTCGCCGTGTGTTCTTTTTATTATTGTTGCCTCTATTTGTGTTATGTGACATGTATGCATAAAAAAAACCCCACAAACACGATTACATTTCTGGATAATTACTGTACCATGTCTTTGTAAAGAAGCTCACAGTTGTTTTAAATGATCCACTTTCATTTGTTATTATCAACCACATCATCATTCTCATTTCACACATGAATGCTACTTTACACAAAGTGTGACTCCTTTACTTCCAATTATCATAGTAATGATGTGATATGAGGTGTCGTTTGTGGTCAGTGACTCACAAGTTTATATAATTTACTTACTCATTCTGTTCCTTTCTTCAAATGGGTTACACTTCAGTACACCTACAGCATTTGTTGCTTTACTTCTTCACTTCTACACACAAATAAACAGATTTTACTTTGCAATATCAACACAGAGGGAGTGCATGCCCTGCATCGGTCGGAGCTTTTTGCCACAGAGGCATTTAGCCCTAAGGGAAAGTGAGCCTCTAACCCCAGAAGAATTAAGTCTCCATTCATCCACCCAGAGTGGTGTAACCCACATCCTCTCACTCTGCTTTCATTCCTCCACACTAAGAGCAGCCAGCAGGCAGAAATAACCAGAGAACTGAAAAGAAAAAAAAAAGAAAAAGGACATTTTATCATCCAACTTCCTGTTCTATTCTGATGCAAACGCATGTGCTTCCAGACCTGTCTTAGTCTGGGTCACCATAGCCAATCACAAAAGGGTAGAGTGCCACCTATTGGTGCACAACCTGAATCCTCTCCCTCTCCTCTCCATCACCTCCTATCCCATCTCCCTCCTCCCACACACGCGCTGGCACTCAACTCCTACACACTGACTCACCATATGTTTTTACACATGCACAGAAAAAAATCACAGTTTGAGCACACGCTGTCACCGCACCCACACTCGCTGACTGACATCTCGGTGCATGTGTATATATGAGCATGCACGCAGCACTAAATTTTACAGAATCACAGCAGACAGATTTAATCCAATGCAAATGCTGACAAACACTCACAAGTCAGAAATAATCATCAAATTCAGTAAATGCAAGAAACATTTGATAGGTAATCAGTGCTTGGGTTAAATTACACATAAAAACGAGCATTTGTGTGTTTGTGTCAAGCAACCATGAAGCACATTATCACCGTCTGTCTCAATAATGTTGCATAAATCTTGGTGTCAAGATTAATCGATCATTCAAAAGGTTATTTACCATAGGACCTCTACTTACCTGTTTATTTAATTTATTACAATACAAAGAGAAAAACATTTTAATTAGTATTAATAATGTTCTTCTTTATATAATCAAAATGAAAAATAGTACTTATTGAAGTCAAAGTGATCAAACCGAGGAAACTAAATAAAATCAACACATTAAAGTGTATCTAGAAAAAAAAGACAATGTAATCTATAGTGCAAGGAAATATAGTATCTCTAGTCTTAAGCTTATCGCTCAGTATTTACTGTGTTAAAGTGAAATTTATACTCTGAAGAATCTAAAGTTACCCTGTGAAAATCATTAAGTAAAGCCAGTTTTAAGCACCTAAATTGTATCGTGTTGCTCTTAAGCCCAATTTGTATGTATCACTTGAATTCATCTGGTGAAGGCGCTCGGCTTTCGCAGTCATGGTGATGCAACTCTGGGAGGAATAGGTGTTAGAACAAGGATGATACGTGTAGGCAGAGACAAAGGAGACCAGCTTATTCTGCTGACCTTTGACCGCCAGGAAAAAACAGTATACACACACACACACACACACACACACACACACACACACACACACACACACA